TGGTTGGGTAACGCTCATAAGACATTTGCCTTTCACCTAATACAAACTAAAAACTGCAAGAAACAGTGCAAGAAAAGGATACTGCAAAAGAGTGAGTCTGACATCAGTGGCAACTACCTGCCATGGGAAACCTGACATAATAGTAGCAGCTAGGTGTACAGGTGGAAGGCCACAGGAACAACACTATGATACCAACAGTGTGAGGACAGGAAGGGAAATACTACCCCAGCAGCTTTGGTGAAAGGTTACAGAGCTGCAGGTGAAAGACGGAGTGCAAACTGCAAATAGGACACCCTTGGCATTGCAAAAGGTTGAGGCTCCAAAGCCACTGTGCAGCACACCACCTTCTTTACGAATAAGTTCAGGCTCAAGACTCCTTATATCTTGCATGCATACAAGACTGACTTACCCTTCAGGGCTGTCAGCTTCTCCAGTGGACTGGATACTTTTCAAGACACTCACTAGACAAGGCCTTCTCATGCTCAGCCTGAGCCATATACAGGACTCAAGCTGAAGAAAGCCCCAGGAGTGAGAGTCAGCCATTCTGGAGAACCAGCAGCCTATATCTTGAACAGAAATTAACTTAAAACAAAAACCGAGTCTCAGAGCAGAAACTGAATTAAGAGATACAGAATCCAGCATCATCTACTCCAAGACTGAAGAACTGGCGACAAATAAAAGATGTACAGTAAGTACTTATCTTCTTACAGGCATTTCTGAGCTAACTTCACTGAAGACCATTTCATTTCCTTAAACAAAAATAGCTTACATGTGTAATAGCTTTAAAACCAAACTATTTTGATAGTTATGGGACATTACAAAGAAACTTTGGCAAAGTATCATGATTTGTGAATGATAAATGTTAACGTTTCTATTGAAAAACACTATTAACAATAAATTACTGGATAATAAGAACATATACTTGCTTCCTACTACCTTCCCAACTCATAATGCACATAATACACTGCATTAATGCTAAAGATAAGTAAACACCCGATCTTGAAGGCTGTGTAATAAAAGGTTTCAATCGCTTTTCCTTATAAAGGAATTACTAAATTGCATAATTTCACCTTGCCTATCTTGACTGTGTAAGGAAGTACGAACAGTAAAATCTAATCAAACTAAAGATTTGTTTAGCCCAATATCTTGGCTTCCAAAGCCCAACAGCAGATGAGCAAGGAAAAATAAGGAAGCACAATGGAACTATGCAATGGTACCTCCTTGGAATACTCAAAGTATCCAGGACATTTGCGGGCTGTGGACATTCTGATCCAGAACCATTGTCTGTCTGCTTTCTAGCTTTTTCTACATTTTTCATCTAGGAATTTGTCTAAACCATTATTGAACTTGTGTTAACTTTTTGCATTGACAAATTTCTTCAGCAAAAAGCTACACTACTGTATATTTTAAAAAAATAGAGAAGCATGGAGAAGTTTGGGTATGTCTTCACTGGAAAGTTACATCATACCTTATAGTTGAACAGATTTTAGGATGTCCCCAAAGTACCAAAATACTATTTTTGAACAGTAGGCTGTTTGGCTGTAATTTTTAAGCTGCTTGAAGATGAAACTATAGATTAACACATACAAATAAACTTCATGATATTATTAAAGTTTCAATAATAAAGTCAACACTAGTGTAGCCTTACCCGACACAATCTCACATTCACAATGCATTCATTGCAAGTAAGCCACATCAAGTAAGGGATAAATTAGTTGGTCATGTAGGAGAATCCTAACCTAAAAACTCAAAACCAGGAGCAAATGAAACATAATTTCATCAAGAAATGTTAGCTTTAAAATGCCTTACTCACACACCAGTTTCAGTAAACAATTTAAACTTAAGTGATACAGCAATGCAACTTTCTCTGGAAAAACAAAATAATGCTTTCTTCTCTGAAAATCATTGCTGAAACCCTGAAGCATGACAAATAGATTTCATCATGGAACAGTCCAATGTTCTGTCTTTACATGAGAGTTATCTTTAATTCAAACCAGCAAATGCATTATGTACCTTCCTACTTAAATGCAGCAACAGGAAAAAAAAAAACAGTTTCTTATTCACCCTAGAAGAACCTAGAAAACTGGTAAGTACTCATTAACTTAAATTCCTATGGAAAATTAATTTCACATAAACAAGATGCATACAGGACATAGCATATAATCCTTAGCAAATCTGTTCCAAACACCTTCTGTAAAAGGGAAAAAAACCCTCATTCCTGAGATACAGTAACCTCTCTCAGCTATGATTCAGCTATGACTACACTGTAAACCAGAAGTACTGTCTATTGCAGTGTGTATACACACACCTTTAGTAGCTTTAAATTATCTAATCTGAATATTGATTACATGAAACAATAGCAGTACACACAGTCTGGTGAATACGTGCTTAATTTACCATTTTGGAGGTGACCAGGTAACATCTCAAGATTTCTGTCATTTTTCATTGGTTATGGTTGTTCATGCACACAGGATTCAAGTATCTTCAAAACTACATTTCTCCTACCAAGCCCTAGTTGAATACTAAGAAACTAACTAATCCAACTACAGTTGATCACCCCCCCCACATTCATGGTAATTCAAACTGGTATTCATACCATTTTCAAGATGGGTAAACATGAATTTGATCACTATTTTCAGGATGTAAATTACATTTTTAACAGCAACTTCCATGGGATTATCTCAGGTAGTGAGATGAACAAATGAAAATTATTTTCCACTTCAAATGATTTTTAGAAAGTACATATTTTTCTATAACTGAATCTCTTTTTAATGTTACTTGCCACTGAATCATAATATTGCCTTTTATTCCCAGGAAAATTTGAATAGGATCAACTGCAGCAATTGAAGCATGTATTGGGACTTTCAGCAGTGAAGACACAATTTCACTTTTAATTTTAAACTGCTCTGGGCACAGGAAGATGGTGGTAAATAGAAGATACACAACAGCTTACAAAATACTGTTCCTACTGCACCCTGTAGATTGCTCCTCATTTGTGCAAAAGCAGGTTAATGGAAAAACAAACACTACTCTTTTCAAAACTGCTATTTTAACATCAGGTTGAAAATATTTGGGTGTTTTACACATTCATGTAAATTTTGATACCAAAATACAAAGGAATCTGACACCCAGAACAGTGTTCTAGGTAGTCTTAACTAACTCTGGTGCTGCACTTGTATTAACTCGGTCACCAAGTGTTTTTCTTGCTTTCAGAGTTCTGAACTGACAACGACATTTGCACACAAAAGAAAGTTATTTCAATATTTGCATGAAGAAGCTAGGACCAGTGGTAGGTAAATATGACTGATCTCTGCTTTTCACTGAGGCCATGACAAGTTTTTTCCCAATGTTTTGGATTATCTCTCTGCCATCATAATGAAAAACAGGAGTTAAAATAGTGTATTATTTGCATCATTGACAGTGGAAAGTCATATATCATTGAGGTATTTATTTTATACAAATTTATTTATACAAATAACCATGCAACTGAAATGTACAAAGGGATGGAACTGCCTTCGAAATCTGCTCCGCTATTATGACAGAGAATAAGCCTGCATTTCTCTCTCAACAAAGTAGGCGTTCTGGGTACAAAACATATGTAGGCAGAGGGCATTGATACAGGAATGCACCGGACATGAGACAAAATTGAGAAACATTCAATAAGAAGATAATTTTAATTATCTTCAGTCGATCTAGGGAAGCTGTTGGGGAACTGGAGGGGGGATGGAGGAAAAGAGATGAGAGAGGGGAGATATGGAAGGGCATTTGAAAAACCTTAATGTGAAACACCTTTCCTTTTGCTCATGAGTTCTCAGCAGAGCTTACAGGCCTTTGTGAGCTTGCAAATTAAAACCTGAGTAACTGTCACAAAACTATTCTCTCACAGAAAACAAAATGTCAAGGAACTAAAGCTGGCAACGTTTAAAGACAAATATGTTTAAATTCCTCAGTTTCTGTCTCAGCACTTGTTTTGCGCCGTTTCTGACAGAGATTCTCAACAGCTTTTGCATCAGAAAAGCACATTCATGCATTTTCATATGTCAATAGGTCTCCACAATTCACTTTCCCACTTCCTTGTCATTCTTCAGGCTTCTAAACATTCATCCCCTCCTCATGTAGTCTAACAGTGGGTTTAGACTTCTTCGGAGCACTTAAAAACACAAACTGCCGTGAGCTCAGGCTAAATCTATCAAAGATGAATACACACTTTGTGCATTACACGTAATACCTGCTTTTTTCCCTCTGTAACAGTGATAAGCAGGGATGACGACTGCCTGCTATTACAGTTCATTTCAGATCAAAATCCAGGCATTTTATGTGAGTCAAAACAACTGTACCCTTGCCGGAAACCACCCAACCGTCCGATGCCCAGCGATGCTGCCCTGGAAACTACCCTGCCGGGATGCATACACCGAACATGGCAACTGCACACAACTCTGTCCACGCTACCCCATTGCCGGGATGGCACGCATCCTGCCCGCCCTCCGGCCACCGCCTGCTCCGGGCCGCTCCGACATGGGCCCAGTGGCAGTGCCTGACTGACGAGCACCTCGCCGACCGCTCCGCTCCCACCTGCTCCCGTTCGGTCCCGACGGGGCAGCTCCCCCGGCGCCCTCCCCTGCTTCCCGATATCCAGCGCACCCTGGGGAGCTTCCAGCGTTCTTCCTGCCGGCTGGGGCTCCAGCAACCGGCCCCTGCCAACCCGGAGCTGCGGCCCGGCACCCCACAGGAGGAAGACACGGCAAGGGAACCCCGCTCCCGGGCCAAGTACGGCGCGCACACACCAGGCAGACAGAGCAGACGCCCAGAAAACTCCTTTTCCACTCACGCTCCTGCGAAGCGAAAGTTGCCGGGAGGCGGCTGTTCCCACAGCACCACCTTGCCCGCCCTGACACGGCCCAACTTACCCAAACCCTTCCAAAGGTCTCCCAAAACCCCACCTCTACAGGTCAAAGGCAACAGCCTGGGACCGGGCAGAACTCAGGGCCGGTGCCACTCACCTTCCCGCGCCTCCCTCCGCCTTATCTCTTCGCTCGCGGGCTGCAACTTCCAATCCTTCCACCAACTGCCATCTTCCACCGGCGCGGCGGGGCAGGATCGGAGCGGGGAGGGGAGGAAAGTTGCGGCGGCGGCTGCTGCCGCGGGGATTAGCTGGCCATCTCGCCGGCGGCGGGCGAGCCTGTGCCGTGCGGAGGGCGGGGCGGCGGCAGCTGGCGAGGGGCTGCGCGCTGCGATCGCAGCAGCCCGTAGCGACGCGGGGAGGATTTACTAAAAATAGCCGCTCGGCGCGGCGGGGGGAGGCCGGCGGGCTGGTCTCTGCTGTGCCGCGGTCCCCGCTGCGGCCGCTGGGGGCCGGGCGGGCAGTGCAGCGCCACGCCACGCCACGCCACGCCACGGTGGGGATAGAGCTATGGGGCGCCTTGCCCGGGCAGAGGGGTAGGAAGGCGCTTCGGGCACGAAACTCTAGAGGCTGCGGCTCCCCCGGCCCGGCTGCCCGGAGCGGGCGGGGTCGGGCAGCGTCGGGCAGCGTCGCGCTTCGCTGATGGGAACCTTCTCGCTGGGCCCTGCTTCCCACCCGGCCGTGGCTCTGTCGGTAGCGGCCGGAGTGCGGCCGCGGTGCCAGGAAAGGGCAGGGCTGTGAAGGCCGGGGCCGTACCGAGGCTCTGCCGGGCTTTCACCGCCGCCCCTCGGCGGCTGGTGCTGGCCGGTTGCGGAGGAGCCGCTCGGTTATTTTCACCCCTTGCACTGGTTCCGCCGCCGCTCTTCGGGGCAGGGGATGCACCTGACCCTCACCCTGCTCCCCGCTAGCGCAGCGGAGCCCGGCGGGGTGTGGTAAGGACACGCATCCGGGAGGGCACCGCCGCTGCCTTCACCCGGCCTTTGGCTTTCCCCGCAGGGAGAACGGGCAGGAGTTGCTGTCTGGCCCTCGCGGGGTGAGTGTTACTGTGCCTGGGGCTGTCACATCCCAAGGTGACTGCACATTCCTCTAAGTGCTTCTTTCCCGTCGAGGACTTACCAGTCTTGATATCTCTTACTATATTCAGCTGGAGGATGCCCATCTTTCTGAGCCCACATTAGGTCTCTGGTAAAAACGGTCTGCAGGTTTCCCTTTTCCCAGTGCTGATTTGTATGGTATATGAAGCTCTCTAATCTATGGAACCTGTCTTAACTATGTTTATCTCTAACCTAAATTTATGGATAGATTTTTTTTTTATTACTTGGGAGAGGAAGGGCTGTCTCCTTTTATTTCTCTCCTTCCAGGTAAAAGTTAGCCTCAAAGCAGTTCAGTTCTTGGAAATTTAAGTAATAAAAAAAAAAATAAAAATAAAGTCACTAGCTATATTCCATCTAAAGGCTTTGGAATTTACATTTGTATTTTTATATATTTCACTTATCATAGAAGTTTCAAGCTGTTTTACTCTTTTTAATTTTATTTTTATATTTTAAGATTGATTATATTTATTATTTCTATCATATTGGTTTCAGATGTTAGCTTTTCTGAAACAAATGTTTAAAATCGGTCTTTCCAAGACTGCTGAAGAACTAGTTAAGTATAAAAGGTACAGCTGGCAGCTAAAGAAAGAGGTTTCGAATTTAGCCTGAATGTCATTTATTGCTCTAGGGATACAACAGATAAAAAGTCAACTGTGGTAAGCAGTGAGTTTTGTGACCCTCAAAATAAATGTCACTTCTTAAAATTAGAAACAAAACTGTGTCTGTGTATGTTTCAACTTGGAGAGGAATCTCATTATATTGTTTTGGTTTGTATTCTAGTGCGGGAATCGGTTTCAATGGGATTGCTAGATGTTAAGTCATGGAGTGCCATGTGACAGATACATCTAAGTCCAAATAGGCTAATGAAATCACACAGCACTGTTTCTCTGACAGATCAATACCCTTCAAACTGATGCATACTTTTGTTTCATTATGTACTCTCGTCCTCTGTCTACTTGAAGGAGGCATTGGCATTATAATTACATTCTAAAAGGCTAGTCACTGTTCCAATGCTGTGCTGGGAACTCCTGAATTTGTACTGGAAAATAACAGGCATCTCTGAGACACCCATGTGTATTTGTTACTGCTGCGCTTGCCCCTACTCATTTCCACTCAGTGCTAATAATATAATGAAGTGGTGTATAGTGGTAATACTTAGGGAGCTTTTATCTTGCTTTTGCTAGATCTGCTACTGCTATAGCGTTACTACATTATCTACTCTTAATTCTACTGATCAAAATATAATTTATAGACCTGACTGATTTGCTGCAGTGAATATGTGTAGCTCTTCTTTCAAATGTAGCATTCTCTCTATTCTCATTGCCTTTCTGAGTTGTTACAAACACTCATCAAAAGTCATGGGAGTGAGAAGAGAAAGTAATATGCCTGCATTATAACTTGTAATTTATAAAACCTGAGATGAGGTGCTTAAATCCTTAAAGCATTTTTATCCCTAAGAAGAGACTTGAGTCATCCTTCCACATCCTTCCCTTCATCTCTGCTACACCGTGAACTGGTGTCTGCTGCTGTATGATGCTGTCCACATACCGATAATTTACAATAACTGATTTTTTTAATGAAAAAAGCTTGCATATTTATCACACAGAGGATCACCAAGGTAATTTTTGGGAGGGCCACAAAAGGTTTTGAAAACCATGCTGGAACAGAAAAATTGTCTTCCCTATGGTTCCTCACTTAAGGTAGGGCCTAATGAAAGCACTAGGAGAAAAGATGTCCGTCCGTCCATCCCCCCCCCGCCCCAGAAAACACTGAAAATATTGAAATAATTAAAAAAAAAATAAACCACACAACTGCATAGCATTCAGCAAACCTTCCTTACATTGGCACAGATTTTACTATCATTAATACTGTGGCAAAATGGCTTTCAGAAGTTCCACGCTTTCAATGGAAACTACTTGAGGAAATAAAAAGGCAGTGAGGTGTAATAGTTCATCAAGCAGTACTTAAGGCTCATCAAGCAGTGCGCAATCCCCTCACTGAAAGGGAATGTCTAGGATGTTCTGTACTGTGTGACCATTAAAATTAATACTCAGCTATGTCCCTTTCCCATTCTGTTCATAAGCTATCATTTCACAAAAAGTGAAACCCATTGAGATGAACAGAAAAAAATCCTTCACATCTAGCAAGACCAAATTGGACTTCCAGCGTACATGTGCCTGTTAACTTGCAGATCTGAGTAAGATGGAAGTAACGCTTTGCCATGAAAACTGTTAAGGAATGAACAAAAGATAAGTCTACCCTATTACTCGATGTTATTACGCCAGCTCTTTGCTGAAACAATCAGTCCTTTTGGATGCATTTCTGTTCCTGGACTGCCAGGCAGTAGATTATTTTCATTATCTCTGGCAGTCAAGAGGCTTCAATTACTCTTCTCTGGTGTAATCTTACAACACACCTATGCTTCTAGTTACATCCAGTGCAGGTCGACAAGACATACTTTCCAGAGATTATTCTTAAATTCAGCTGTGTACTTCCCAGGTAAGATGAATAAACACCACAGAACCTAGCTGGTGTTTGTTCCTTAAGTTCCTGTCCAGTTTTGAAAGGGGGGTTAGAACTAAATGGTCTTAAGGTACTTTTAAACCTTGTGATTCTGTGAGCTCATGGCTCTGCTTTTTATCTTCACATTCAGGGAAGTTCAAGTCATTCTGTGCTCCTCTTTAGAAATCAGTACCAGCTGCCTCTCATTTGTCACCTTATAGGACTAGATCCTTGCGATGTTTCAGATCACTTTTTTAATAGAATTAATAGATACCTAGAAAGTTGCACAGGTCAGCCATGCACCATGTACCTAAAAAAATACAACGCTTTAACCAGTGTTGTGCAATTCTCTATGTATGCTTTATATATGTATTAATGCTTATAAGATTATCTGCCATAGCAATTATTTGTATTTTATTAAGAATGTTTGCATAACTTCCTCCTTTAAAATGTTCAGATTTGTCTTCTGTAAGAAAAATATCAACATTCAGTTTCAGGAAGGGGTGTAACTTACTTGCGATGTCTATTAGTTTGACTGAGAACTAATTAAAGTCTTCTTCTGCGTAAGACTGCTAGCCTTTTAGTAAGTATCGTGCTCATTGGCTCATAAACATTACAATTTCACATGTTTCAGATTGGGCATAATTGTTGATTTTGTTTACAGAAAGCGTTTGCTTTTTACCTGAAAAAAGATCGGTGGTTTAGCTGATCAGGCAGTTTTACGCAATTTGTAAATAGCCACTTAACTGCTACAGAAGCAGGCAATCTAAATAAATCAACACAGATGCCAACATTTTAAAGTTAATAGGGTTTTTTTGTACTAACATTAAAAAAGAACAGTTATAGATTTTAATAACACATTTAAACATATCTATCTCCTTCACACTGGAAATAATTAACGTACGATTAGCTCCTTCGGTGCCTGGGCTTTCAGGAATGTGTACACATATCTACATTCAATAGGACTATTCAGGTTGTTATTACCCCTTTTTCACAGCACCAGTGGTTAGCCAATATTTGGAAATTTGTGGGGTATTTCTCAGAAACATGATAGAGTCAAATGGGTTTTGGTCCTGACCTACTTGTATGCAGAGAATATAAACATAGCTTGATTCCTCAAACAGAGTAAGTTCTGAAATGAGTGACCAGACATAACGCCAAGTCTGCACACTACTGCCCTGCCACAGCACTGTGCCTCCAGACTGGGTCTTTGTTGTAGTTTAAACCCAGACAGACAGCTTCTTACCCACTCCCCCCCCCCTTCTTGCCCTCCCCCTACTCCTGGGGGAACAGAGAGGAGAATCAAAAAGAAATGCAACTCCCACGGGTTGAGATAAGAACAGTTTAGCAACTAAGGTATAACACAAATCACTACTGCTACCACCAATAATAGCAATGATAAATGATCTAGGTGTTCCTGCTCCGGCAGGGGGATTGGACTAGATGATCTTTTGAGGTCCTTTCCAATCTCTAACATACTGTGATACTGTGATACTGTGAAATAACAAGGGAAGAGAATACAACACCTCATCACCAGCCAACCGATAACTCGCCCCCCAGCCCAACCAAGCACCAGCCGATACCTCCTCCAACCCTCCAGTCCTAGCCCTTCCGGGTAACTCCCAGTTACATCCTGGGCATGACGTGCTGTGGTATGGAATACTTCAT